ATCGTGGCCCCACCCACACCCGCTGAATGGGAACCAGGATCTCCCTGAGTGCTGCAGGTGACTCCAGGGCACTTCGTGAAGCACTCTCGTTTCCAGAAAAACCAGAGGAAGGTCCCCTTTCCAAAACACCTCCACCTGCCCGAAGGCAACCCATGGAATGCCACCAACTGGCCAGGCATCGGACCTTGGGAACTTTTGAAGGAGGTTTACAGGGGATGCTGCACAGCCCCCATTGGTGGTGTCAAGGTCACATCTATCGGAAGGGTTTGTGTGTGATTCTCTCGGAGCACCGCAGGCTCTGGGGGAGTGTATGTTCCTGACTTCAGCTCAGATTGGCAGCCCCTTAGACGGGGCTGGGAAAGAAGGCAGCGTGAGGCCCAGGGTCGACACTGGGTCTCCCTGTGAGGGCTGGGTCTCACCTGGCCCCCAGATCCTCCGGACAGGCGGACCACGCCGCTGCTGCCGCCTCCTCCACCGCTGCTGCCGCTGCCACCTGGATTTTCACACTGGGGGGTGGGGGGCGGGGCGAGGAAAGGAAGACTTACTTGGAGCCTTGGTGGCGCCGTGGATTACACATCGGGCTGTTCACCGCTACCTACACCCCCACCCACCCACCCCCGCCCTCTACGCTTGACAAAGATTCCATTAATTGTGAGATGGAGGGAGAGCAGAGCTCCCCAACAGAACAGAGCCGTGGCATTTACCCACCCCCGCCCTCTAGGCTGGCTGCACCACCATCATTTGCAGCACAGGGACACCTCTGTTCTAGCCTGTGGGGTCTCTGTAAATGGACCTACAGCACGCGAACCCCAGCCGTTGTTCCCCCAACCACCAAGGGGTCCGATGGCCTCCTGTTTTTCTTCCCACCGTTTGGGGGTGACTCCTGCACACCCTGGCAGCACACCAGACACTCACCTCGGGCCTATGTCCCCCACCGTTGCCCCCGCCGCCGCCGCCTGAGGAGCTGGTGCTGGACCCCTGCGAAGGAAACAGGGTTCATGGTGGTCTTCAAAGGCTCAGAAAGGGTTCCAGCCCTCCCCAGCTGCACTGTGAATGTTTAAACTCCCCATCTGACTCCAGCCGCTCCCCAAACTCCATACCTTCCCCGTCTGTAGCCAGTGGGTCACCAAAGAAAGCTATTCTGAGGGCAGACAGGGCCTCCACCCCCCTGGACATATGTGATGATTTGGGGGTGTCGAGCAGTCGCCCCCCACCTCAGTGCCCAACACTCTGGGGCCCAGCTGCATGGAAGCTTGCCCCTGGCCACCAGGGGTGAGCCTAGGGCAACTCCTGCCCCCTCCAGCCTCACCCCCACCACCACCCCTCTGGGCAAAGTGTCTTACCTGGGAGTCTGACTGGCTGTCTTGATCGAAATTCCTTGAGCTGTCTAAGGGTCGGTCCTGGATTCCAGGAAGAGGGGGCGATCAAAAGGGCAGTGAGTGAAAGTGCTTCTCTGACTGCAGTGGCTGACTCTCCTCGCCCAAGAGCCCACAGCTGCCAGGTGTGCCTCCTGCACTCTAGTCCCTCTCCTGTGGGACCAGCCCTTGGCTCCCCACCCATCATCTGGAGAGATTCCTGGGGGCACTGTTTTGGCACGCGTCACCCACCCCACAGCTGTGTGGATGTCCTTAAATCCCCAATCTGGGTGGCCTGGCCCATGTTCTTCTGGGAGGTCCCAGGGCCAGAAAGCAAGCATGCTATTTTTGTGTGCCCACCTCTCTTCTAATGCATGCCATCCCCCTGTCTACACTGAGCTTTCAGGGCTAGCAAGACAGGAATAGCTCGCCACCATCAAGAACCGGGGGGTGGGGGGAATGCAGAAATCGGTAGGGCACCTTGTCTGGAGAAAGCAGAAGGAGTCTTTAGGGGACAGTGCTTGGTTGGGGCTGGGAGGGTGAGGAACAGGCTGAGGGAACCCCAGGTGGACATGGGCCAGCCAGGCCCCCCACTCCAGTGGCCTTGGGGGAGCCTCAGGAATGCCGCTCCTCGGTCAGAACCACCAGAAGCCTCCATCTCACTGGTACCGTCAAGAAAGGAACACAACTCACCCAGTTGGGCCCTGAGCTGCTGTCACCACTGTTGCCTCCACTGTTTCTGTCACTGTTGCTGTCTCTGCCCTGGGAGGGGTCACTGCCCTGGGAGGGGTCACTGCCCTGAGAGTTAGAGCTTCCCTGCGGGACCAGAAGAGACAGAACCAGGACTGCACATGAGAACATCCGGAGTGCCCCTCACTTCCTTTCCCCACACCCTCCCTGGGCGGTGTCTCAAGTGGGCCCTCTCCTTACCCCGGAATTGCTGGAACTTTCACTTGAGCTGGTGGGCTTGGGGTTGGTGCACTGCAGATGGAAGAGGACGCGTGACTTCGGACAGCTCGGTCAGCACCAGCTCCATGAGCCCCGCCCCTCAGGCCTCCTCTGGACCTTCTTTCCTGGTGTCTTCCTCTCTTCTTCCTCTCTCCTCTCCATCCCCATCTGCCCTCCCCAGCCTTCCCCTCCTCTTCCTCGTCTGCCTTTTCGCTTTGTTGCTCTCCCCCACTTTCTGCCCATGCTCCCAGACACCCACCCCCAGACTCTCTCTCCCTTTTACCTCAACCTTCTGGTTGTTGCCGCCGCCGCTGCCTCTCACCGAGTCATACCCGGGCTGGACCACAGCCCCCTGCAGGGAGGAAGACACCGACCGGTGAGGTCCAAGGACAGAGAGAGGAGCGGGGAGTCCGAGTTGGGGGGGAGGGGGCGGTGCTCAGGACAAATGGCTACTTTACCTGTACGTTGCTACCATAGTTGAATGACCCTCCGTGGCCTCCTGGGACCCAGGAGCCTCCCTGAGAGTTGGCTCCAAAGCTGCCACCTGGACCGTTGGGGTATCCATTGCCCCAGGGAGCCCCTGGGCCTCCAGGATTCCCCTGCATGTGTCCACTGAAGCCTCGCTGAGGCCCAGAGAGCCCGTAGCTTCCAGATGGTGGCTGCCCGTTAGCTCCCTGCAAGGGCACGCACTGGCTCTTAGCAACATAGTGACCACCGCTAGGGGGGAAATTTGGGGAGTCCCGCGTGGGAGGAGAGAAGCAAGTGGTCCTCAAACTGCCTCCCAACCACCAGGAGTGGGACACCCAGTCATCCCTGCCAGCGTTCCCTGGTTGACTCAGCCTCTCTGTCCACCTCCAGCCTCCCAGCCACTCACCCAAGCACCGTTGCTGCCCGGCGCCCCCTGCCAGTAGCCGTTGGCAGCGTTCGTTCCATGGCGAAGGATGGTCTCGGCCTGTCTGCCGGCCTCACCCCCAGCATTACCGAGAGCATGGGCTGCTTCCTCAACCCCACGGTGGACTGCCTCTCCCAGTGCAGGATGCCCGACAGCACCCCTGAGCCCAGAGCCAGCTGCCTCTCCAGCGCCTTGGCCAATGGCTTGCCCAACTCCCTGGCTAATGGCATCTCCCATCCCATGCCCCAGGGCCTCCCCAGCACTAGCCGCAGCGCTCTCTCCTCCACTCAGGAGTGGGATGGCCCCCCCGCTGCCCAGGCACAGGGCCAGCAAGAGGCAGGCCAGGGACCCCTGCAACTTCATGTCAGCCTCACTCCCTCTCCCCCCTCTCGGTCTCTCTCCTGTCTTCCCCTTCCTCCCACCCAAGTGTGATCCCTGCTGCCCTCTCTCTTCCTCTGCCGCTGCCGCTGCGTGTGTGCCTGCCTCCCTTCTCTTCTTCCTCCTGATCCCTGTTCCTCCCTCCCTCTGGGTCAGCAGCCCGCTCTGTCCCTTCCCACACTCCCCTGGCTTCCCAGAGTTCTCCTCTCTGTCTCTACTCCTTATACTGGAGCCTGGGAGGAGAAGGTGGCAGGGCTGGGCAGTGCCAGTCCCTCCTCCGGTGACTCAGGGCCCAGCCACAGGCAGGGTAATGAGCTGTAATTGTGAGCTGGTGTTGAAACAGAGAGGGAGAAGTGGATCGGAGAGGGAGGGAAACATGAGAGGAGATGGGGACAGCAGCGTTCCAGTTTCCCAACCCCAGGAATTTGGGGCACAGGGTGGGGGTGGGGGCGTCTGAGAAGATAGGCTGTTGGTGCTTCTTGGAGGGGTGTGAGAGGGTGGGGGTGGGATGGAGAGGTGCTTGGGATGGAGAAACCTCAGTCAGAACCCAGCAGGGAGTAAAGATAGGGAAGCCTCACCTTAGGCCTAAGCCAAGCTAAGGGTAGGGGCACCAGGGTGAGAGGTCTCTCTCTCTCTCTCTCTCTCCTGCCCTCTCTGAGTTTTGCTGGGTCTCTGGCCTCTCATCTCTCTCCCATCCCACACTGACACAGACAAGCAGCTGTCTCCACACTCTTCTGCAACCGCCAGCCCATGGGGTGGGGAGCAGAAGCCCTGGGGATTGTTCAAATTCCCCTCAGTGTGGACCCTGGTGCGCCCCCATCCATCCCCCACCCCCTGACCCTGAGTGCACCAGGTGTCTCTGCTTAGCATGACACCAGGTGTCTCTGCTTAGCATGACACCAGGTGTCTCTGCTTAGCAGGCAGACGGCTCTTGCCTGGGGAGATTGGGTGGGGAGCAGGGGAGCTGGGCGGGCCAGCCGCCCCCAGGAAGAAGTGGGAGGGAGAGATCAGGGAGGGAACAGCAGGCCATCCTGTTTACCCGAAAGGTTTCAGAAGGGGCACGTGTACATGAGTTCACAGGACCTCGTGCAGTGGGTGGGTCCTTGCCAGCTCTCCCATAACCAGCCTTCCTCAGGGGCCTGGGGGCACTGACTAGGGAGGGGGGGGGCAGGAAATGGACCAGAGGCAGCGGTCTGCACCATGGCCCTCTCTCCCCATCCCAGTGTAGGAGATAGACCCCAGCCACCACCCTGGTGTCACCCCTGCTCAGCAAGTATGGCTGCTTCTCTGTTCCCAGAAGTCCTCGGCCCTCCCACTTGGCACGGCCATGTGTCACGGGGATTCATTGCCTAGTTAGGAGGGGCCGGTTTCCATCCACCTTTCTCAACGTCTCTCAGTCAGTCTCTACCTCCCTTGTTCTGCACCCGCACACCCACACCCTTACCTATAACACCCCAACACGTCTTACCATGTAAACACCATCCCGGTCCGTCCTTCTGACCTTCTAACTCCCTGTTATTCGGTTTCTGGCTCTTTAATGATGATAATAGTAGTGGGAGTAATAATACTGATTCTTGCAGCCCCGGTCTGCTAAGGACTTTCTATGTGCCCAGCGCTAGACTAAGCACTTTGAGACTCATGCAGCCCTGGAGGTAGGTCATCTAGAGACTGGAAACTGGGGCTCATCTAGAGACTCCATTTAGAGACATGGAAACTGGGGCTCCGGGAGGATGGAGGGAGTTCCTGGTGCAGCCGGAAGCCAGTGCCAGCTCTACCTCAGCCCTAAACTCTGGCTTCCAAGCGTTGTCGGGTTCCCCCTGATCCTTGTCTTCCTCTGGGTAGAATTGGTTTGGATTCTTATTTTTGTCCTGGGAGCCATGTGTGAAGAGGAGGAGGGCGACAGGGAAATCAGGGCCTTGCAAGCTCAGTGGTGGACTTCCCAGGGTCCACCTTGCAGGCCAGGGTCCCACAGCACCATGAGGGGCCATGAACACTGAGCTCAAAGGCCCCTTCCCAGCCTGCCCTTCACAATGTTTCCCATCTGCCCTCCCGTTCTCTATTATGGGTATTTTACATCACTCCTATAAGTGGAAGGTCAAGATCACAGGTCCATAAACAGACAGTTCCAGGAAGATACCGTGACAGGCAAACAAGGGTATTGCACTATGGATGACTGGCGGTCCTGTGACGTTTGTTGAAAAGGGGAGATTAGCAAGGATGAGAGAGGTGTTTGGGGCACAGGGGCCCAGGAACAGCCTTGCTCTTTAACTTAAATCAGAAGGCTTGGAAGAAAATTAAGACTAGAATACGGTGTCTGAGTCAGCATTATTCAAAGCTATGTCATTCAAAGCCACAAACCACTGACACCCCCACCCCCACCCCCCTCCAACCACCCCACACCACCTCACCAGTTGTCCATGGTTTTCCTTCTTGGAGAAATGCAGCATGAGACATTTCAAGATCTGAGAAACCACTCCAAATCAGACTTGGGACGCAGCTGGGGTTTTCTACTCCTGTAAAGAGCTCCACCCTTGGGAACCCACAAGGGCAGCTCTACCCTGTTCTATAGGATCGATGTGTGTCAGCATCAATTCAATGACAGTGAGTTTTCCTGTTAGGGGCGTACTGTGAACCCAACAGGATACAGGGTGCTTTCACATGCATGATCTCGGAAGGGCCCTGGTGGCATAGTGGGCTATGCATTGAGCTGCTAAACACAAGGTCAGAGATTTGAACCCACCAGCTATTCCATAGGAGGAAGATGAGACTGTCTCTTCCCATTAAGATTTAAAGTCTCGGAAAGCCACAGGGAAGTTCTACTCTGCCCTGCACGTTCACCGTGAGTCGCAATTGACACGATGGCGGCAGATTGGGTTTGGTTGGCAGTATAAAATCAAGAGGTAGGTATTATTCTCATTTTACAGGTGACATAGCCAGGGCTCAGCACAGTTAAACATCACATGCAAGGTCATCTGTCCAAAGATGGTGACCATTGGAGCTGTCAGACCTAACTCAGGTCTGTGTGGGATCAGTGTTTTTTTCTCCTGTCTCACCATGCCTTGATCTGGCATCTGGAGACCCACTGTGTCTGGGTTCAAATCCTAGCTCCAGAACTTACATGCCATGATCTTAACGAATCTATTCAACCGTTTCCTCATGAAGCCAGGCATGGAAAGAGGTAATTCATGGAAAGAGCTCAGAACAGCACCTGGCACACCGGGGTACTACTACACATTCTTGTAGTGTTCGATATGTTGATGCTGTCGGAAGGTTTTTTTGGAAATTGCCTGTGAACACACACATACATGCGTGTCCAGAAAGGATCAAATGCAAACACTTATTATTTTTTTAATCATTTTATTAGGGGCTCATACGACTCTTATCACAATCCATACATACATCAATTGTGTCAAGCACATTTGTACATTCATTGCCCTCATCATTCTCAAAACATTTGCTCTCCACTTAATCCCCTGGTATTACTTCCTCATTTTTCCCCTGCCTCCCCACATCCCCCTCCCTCATGAACCTTTGATAATTTATAAATTATTATTTTGTCAAATCTTGCACTATCTGACCTCTCCCTTCACCCACTTTCCTGTTGTCCATCCCCCAGGGAGGAGGTTATATGCAGATCCTTGTAATCGGTTCCCCCTTTCTACCCCACCCTCCCTCCACCCTCCCCGTATCTCCACTCTTGGCACTGGTCCTGAAGGGATCATCTGTCTGGATTCCCTGTGTTTCCAATTCCTATCTGTATCAGTGTACATCCTCTGGTCTAGCCAGAATTTTAAGGTAGAATTGGGATCATGATAGTGGGGTGGGGGGAGGAAGCATTTAGGAACTATAGGAAAGTTGTATATTTCATCATTGCTACTTTGTACACTTACTGGCTTGTCTCCTCCCCTTGACCCTTCTGTAAGGGGATGTCCAATTATCTACAGATGTGCTTTGGGTCTCCACTCCACAGGCCCCCTCATTCACAACGATGTGATTTTTTGTCCTGATGATGCCTGATCCCTGATTCCTTCAACACCTCGTGATTGCACAGGCCGCTGTGCTTCTTCCATGTGGACTTTGTTGCTTCTGAGCTAGATGGCCGCTTGTTTACCTTCAAGCCTTTAAGACCCCAAACGCTCAATCTTTTGATAGCTGGGCACCATTAGCTTTCTTCACCACATTTGCTTATGCACCCATTTGTCTTCAGTGATCGTATCTGGGAGGGGAGCACACAGTAATCTGATTTTTTGTTCTTTGATGCCTGATAACTGATCCCTTCAGCACCTCATGACCACGCAGGCTGGTGTGCTTCTTTTTAAAGAGCCCGAGACGTATCCCTACTTAGGGGTCATGGTGAAGCATGCCTCTTTGCTAACAGAGATCATCACAAGTCTAGTTCCCTTACAAGTGAGGATGGGAAGACTTCATCTCACCTACTTTGGACACGTTATAGGAGAAGGATATCGTGCTTGCAAAAGTAGAAGGTCATTGAAAAGTGAGCTGGACATAGTGGCTTGAACACCGTGACATTGCATCAAGCCACCCAGTGGCTGCAACAATGGACTTAAACATAGTGAAGATTGTGAGGATGGTGCAGGCAGGACCTGTTTTGTTTTGAGTTTTGTTCGGCTGTGTGTTGGCGAAGTCGCGTGCCTCAGGGCCAGCTCCTCATGGAACAGCCATAACGAAAGTGACCTTGCCCTGGAGACCCACCAGCAGCAGGGACACCTGGGTGCCCTGGGGCAGCTCTCCCCCTCAACTTCATCATATGTAAGGTGAGTCTTCATGGTACCTGCCCCATGGGGCTGTTGCGAGGATAAAATGAATCATATCTGTAAACAGATGAGTGAGCCTCCAATTAAAAAAAAATGGTTGTGAATGTCCTGCCCAAACTCCACTCCCTGTCCTTCAACTTCTGCAAAACCTGAGCCCTCCTCTGTGTCTTCCTACCTTTGTTCCACCCGTCTTCATCCAAGCAGCCTACT